AAGAGGCAGTCATAGCTGAGGTATGACTGGGCTCCTATCTATGCACAGGTAGGAATTCTAAGCCTTATTCATGGCCTGGAAAAGGGACTTAAGGAATAAAATTGTCTCCTGTTTTGCATGCCTGAGATTTGAGTTAAATTCTTATTTACTTTTTAAGCCAAAATAAATTCTTTACCTTCACCTATGTGGCTACACCAATTGAGGGGTTTTGCTTTTCTCTAGCTCTTAAAAGCAAGAACTAACATGATATTAATAATGTGCCAGGGATGCCTGGGTGGCTCAGTCGGTTAAGGGTCTGACTCTTGGATCTGGCTAAGGTGGTGACCTCACGGTTCGTGAGTTCAAGCCTGATGTTGGGCCCTGCATTGGCAGTGGAGAGCCTATTTGGGATTCTCTCTCTCTTTCTCTCTGTCTCTGTATCTCTCTCTCTCTCTTTTGTCCCTCTCATGCTCATGTTCTCTCTCTCTCTCTTTGTCCCTCTCATGCTCATGTTCTCTCTCTCTCTCTCTCTGTCCATCTCATGCTCATGTTCTCTCTCTCTCAAAATAAATAAATAAAAACTTAAAAAAGATAATGTGCCAAGCATAGGTCTAAGTACGTAAAATATAGTAACTCATCTAATCTGTGAATTGAGACTTTATGTTTCCATGCTGGACCAGCATTTTATCAGCATCAACAAATGAGGAATGTCTATTCTGCATAACCAAAATATCCTGTAGCTAGAGGGGTAGGGGGTAAAAGAGACCAATTTGTTCAATAATCATATCTAGGAACAAGACATTAGAGTTATTTAGTTTGAATACAACTGATTCTAGTAAGGAGGGTAAAGGAATATCCCAGGGTGACAGATCAGCCAGGGAATAGCAGGCTATGCAGACTGTAACTCTGAATTATACCACGTATGACAATTCATAGCTCAAGGGCACTTACTCCCACAGCCGGGTTGGGTTGCATTTTTGCTCCTCTACTAACTCTCAAATGTCATAGTCTCTGGTTGGAGCCTTAGGACCTCTCCCTGAAGAGGTCCGGCATAAGATTGACACTGAGTAAGCCAGGAATGGTGAAAATATCCTTAATGACAGGTAACTAATGGGCCATCAAATGCATCCAACCTAAAGGTTGAGGTACTGAGGCCTTGAAGACCAACTCTAATGCATGGTTGTATGTTGTATTTGTTGATTAGAAAGCTTATTCTGAGTAGATTAATTAATTTCATAATGAAAGAATTTTATAGTAAATATTCCAAAAATAATTATAAGTGATTTTGGTCCTTTACTTCTCGTAGTTTCCTCTTAAACATATAAGCCTGTTGGGATGCCTGGGTGGCTCAGTTGGTTAAGCGTCCAACTTCAGCTCAGGTCATGATCTTGCAGTTCATGAGTTTGAGACCCTCATTTGGCTCTGTGCTGACAGCTCAGAGCCTGGAGCCTGCTTCAGATTCTGAGTCTTCCTCTCTCTTTGCCCCTCCCCTGCTCACACTCTGTCTTTCTCTCTCTCTCAAAAATAAATAAAAACATTAAAAATTAAAAAAAAAACATATAAACCAATGAACTGAACATGATGTGGTTCACCATAGAATTCTAACACCGTTAGTCTGATAATGCCTTTCATATACCCAATAATATACATTTTACAAACCAGTGAGTTACCATTTAAGGAAATGAGTCTGATAGAAGTTAGTAAGAAGGCTGGTCAGTAAGAAGCAAAGCTTGATTCAAACCCAGAGCTGTCTGAATCCCAGACTTGTGCCTTTGAATGTTCCATTGTCCTTCCTGCACAATGATTTCAATGGGCTTTTAGTCTGTTGCAATTGGTTTAGGAAGAAGACCCCCATTAGACCACTAAACTCTGAACTTGTGGACTAACTAAAAGAACATGAGAACTTTGTTAAACCTATTCCTCCTTTCACTTTATGATAAATGACAAATAAAAAAATAAAAATGGTAGTCTTTGTGGATTTGGTGATGAATAGGAATTAACATATTGGACAACAAAGAAAAAGAGAGTGATATATCCTCACGATATTTCCTTTGGATTGGGGGAGGTGCATATTTCAGGTGGAAAATAGGTATGGGAGGTGTTTCCAGTTTGGCATTTCCAGCTATCAAACCTAAAAAACGGCAACATTTCCAATCATTATCTCATAATGGCTACAAATCTTGGTGCAAATCTTTCCATTATTTCAGTGATTTAATACATACAGCACCCAGCAACTTACATTTTAATAAGATGGCAATTTATTGTTGGAAGTAATTTTGTTTAAGCTATTTTTACTTCTTTCCCCCTTCTTGTTAACTGTTGGAAATACTCCGATCAGCATATTGAGCCCTTTCCTTGCTATGGAAGTGTTACATGCTGCTATGGTTTGTAGGTCTCCCTTTGTTGAAGGCCAGGGAAAATATTCTGGATAATTCATTTTTATTATTCCCTTTTCTAAGAGTTTGTGTTCATTTTTAAAGCAGTAAGCTTCAGTTTCCTTTCTGCCAGACAATCTACAAATTATAAACATACCACAAAAATGCTTGAACAAAATGAATCCATACCTTTTGCAAACTAAAACCAAAACTTCAGTTTACAACATTTTTTCAAAACAATGATCTCTGTGTTTATTCTTTTTAGCCTGTTTAATTGAAAACATGGTCAGAGTCAACATTTGGCATATTTTAATGCTATCTAGACTTAATTTTCTCCTCCCAGACAGCCTCTGATCTTGCTCCAATCCTACCTTGAAGCAGGATCAGCATTTTGGTGGATCCTAACTCCACAAGATTAGGCTTTTCACTGAGGACCCCATGGGGAATGAAGACATTGAAAAGAGTCCCCCAATCAGTGTCTCTTTTCCCCCAAAGATACCCTGCAACTTCTATGAAATGCTTTATCTCCCCATTCTCAGATGTAATGGGACACCCAAATAACACATTAAATAATTTTTTCAATAAACAATTTTGAAAAGATTGTTATAACTTAGCTTTTTAAGTTATTTAGCAAGAAGTGACTTATAGTGAAATTACAATTGGTTCTAATTGTACTGTATTAATCATGATAACTCATGGATCTTGCAAAGTGAGAAAATGTAACCTAAAATTGTTCTCATATATCATGACATTTATTTTAGAATTCACATTTTAATAGGGCGCCTGGGTGGCTCAGTTGGTTAAACATCCGACTCTTGATTTCAGCTCAAGTCAGGATCCCAGGATCATGGACTGGAGCCCTGCATGGGGGTTTGTGTTGACATGGAGCCTGCTTACAAGTCTCTCTCTCTTGCTCGCTTGCTCTCCATACACCCCCTGCTCACTCTCTCTCTCTCTCAAAAAAAATCAAATTTTAACAATTAATGAAGTTGACATAAGGTTCTGCATTTATAGACATTTAATTAAAATTTAATTAAATATTTATTTTTCACTATGCAGTTTTTTTCCCCTGTGATTTGAAGCCAATGCTTCCCTGAGGTCTGACATATTTTCAGAGGACCCTGTAGATTCTCAGCATTATGCCTTTGCATGCTAGTGGATAAAACATCCATAGCACTAGGGAAAATTCCTTCAGTGTTCTCATCCTGTTAGCCCTGGCTCTCAACTCAGATAATAATAACGCACTCAGAAAAACAAAGGCTTGATGAATAGTACCCCATAGCCCCTTTGAAAGATTTATATAAGTTTTTTTTTTTTTTTTTTGCCTGTATACCACAACATCATTAGGAAATGTAAATTTGATGAAAGCAAATCTTCCACTTGAGAGGATGCTAACCCTATAAATAATGGTTTTCCTCCTCTTCAATACCTCTTTCTCAACTGGTATATATTTGCTACTTTCTTTTTTTTTTAATTTATTTCTAGGAGAGAGAGAGAGAGAGAGAGAGAGAGAGACAGCGTGAGCAGGGGAGGGTCAGAGAGAGAGGGAGTCACAGACAGAAACAGGCTCCAGGCTCAGAGCAGGCAGTCAGCACAGAGCCAGACGCGGGGCTCGAACCCAAGAACCGCGAGATCATGACCTAAGCGAAAGTCGGACGCTTAACCGACTAAGCCACCCAGGCGCCCCTATATTTGATACTTTCAGCAAATCTACATAAGCTGCCTTCCAACCAGATTTGGGTCAGACATTGTGCAAGAAGCTCCCTCTGGCCCAGGAGGAAGTGGAACAAGGACTGGGCTATCATGGCCTTCAGTCCCTGCCTCCAGAACACAGCCAGAATTGGACCGAATCTCACCACCTCACCCACTAACACCCTGTCCCTGATGCCAAGTCTCTGGCTGTGCTCTTTGAGTGGCCTCCTAACTGGTCTCCTGCTTCAGCCCTTGGTGCTCTGCAGCCATTCTCAACATGGCAGCCAGGGTGGTCTTCAAAGTATCACCTCTTTGCCATCATCCCCATCTCACTACACGTACAAGCCAGGGTCCTTACGATGGCCTCACCACATCTTGGCCCCTTTGCTTCCTCACCTCTTCTTTTGTCTTGTTCTATCTAGTGCACTCCATTCCAGTTGCACCTGGCCCCTTACTGTTCCTGGGACATACGACTTCTGTTGAGGGCCTTTGAATTTGTTTGCTATGCTTGGGACCCTCTTCTTCCAATTGTTGACCCATTTCCCTCCTTTACTTCTTCCTTAGATCCCTTCTCAGTTTCCTCTCAGCATTTACCCTCATTAGAACATACGACATACCTGACTCACTCATCTTGTTTGTTGTGTGTCTTTCCTCACTGACTATAAGTGCCACGAGGCAGTGTTTTGTCTCTATCATACAGCGTTGGATCCCTTGTACCCAGAATAGTGCTTGGCTTATTTTCTATTAAATTTTAATATTTATTCATTAAGTGGGTACATAATGTGTCTCTTTCTTAAAGGAGTCAATGAGAAAATTGACACGGTATTTACTCATAGTATCTAGGCCTCTATCACTTCAAGACTCAAAGACTCTTCCCCTAATTCAACCCTGAATTTCTTTTCTCAGAAGGGTGGGCCAACTTAACTGGGAGACCATTTTTAGGAGAGGTTTTACCTTGTGCAGGTGATTTCTACCTGGAGAAGGTTCATGTCTCCTGTTCCTTCTAGGCACTCCCCAGTAAGAGCCAGGCTGCAGCTGGTCCTGTCTGCGTCAGTCAACTCTGTTGTGACGAATACCCTAGAAATAGGATTCAGCAAGGATAGGAACTGGGAGATGGTGCTTGCTTTTGAGCTGGTTACAGCACTTTAGGACAAGACTAGAGTCTGTTAGGAAGCCCACAAGCAAATGTTGAGAAGGTATCTGCTTATCCTCCTCCACCTGAGTCCCTTGCCCGTGGAGAACCGAATTTCAAGGATGAGCATCACTTCCTACTCCCCACGTACATCACTCAGCAAAGCTGGTTGCTCTTATACTGTGTGGAAAGCACAAGTTACCTCCTTATTTCCTCCTCATGTTCCCTCAGAATTATGACAGCTCAGGAAGGCCTTGGTGACATTCTTTAGCAGTAGATCCATAGTCCACATAAATTTCTCAAATGGTTCTGAACCCCTCAGGCCAGATTCTTCAAGGAGATCTTATTAGCACTTCCGACAAGTAGAGTCCCTGTAACACTCACAAATTCCCTTCTCACATCCATTCTTTCTCTCCTGCTCATGTCATCTCTGCTGCTCTTTTATAAGGGTGGCCATCCTTGTGGCTCCTCTGGTGAATTATTCCAGCACAACTCAACTATTTCTTCTGGTCCCTGGTAGTTCGCTCCCAAAACATATTGTCTTTCCTTCTCCTGTGTGAGAAAATGTGAGTTCTTTTAGTTCCTTTGACTGGTTCAGTCATAACCGGACATACACAATCTGAATCTCTCAAGATCCCTTTTAGACACACACACACATACACACACACACATACACATACACACACACACCAAAAACAAAAACAAAAAAAACCCCAAAACCCCAAAATGCTTCAAAATAGTTGTCACGCTGTTATTGTCATGAGTGATTGGATTACGAAAAGTGTGTGTTTAAAATATTTGCCTGTGGAATCATTGATTTTTTAAATTTTCTTAAATGTTTATTTATTTTTGAGAGACAGAGCATGAGTGGGAGAGGGGGGACGAGAGAGAGACAGGGAGAGAGAGAGAGAGAGAATGAGACAGAATCTGAAGCAGGCCCCAGGCTCCAAGCTGTCAGCACAGAGCCCGATGTGCGGCTCAAACTCAGGAACTGCAAGATCATGACCTGAGCCGAAGTCTGATGCTTCATCAACCGAGCCACCCAGGTGTCCCAAGAATCATTGATTTTAATTAGATTAATTTCTTGTAGTAAATGTATCAGGAGTCCTGACAAAACATGGAATACTTAGGATTATTGGAGATAAGTATATTTACAAAAAGGCATTTTATTTCAAAAGTGTGAGTGTAGAGGAACCACAAAGGATAGCAGAATAACAGAGCAAGTAGCTGCAAAGCTGTTACCACCCTTCAGCCTGAAAAGAGCTGGAAAAGCAGTTCTAGGATCCTGGGAGGAGAAGTTGCCTACCTTGTCAGGAGCAGTGACTTCTGGTCATGTGTAATAAGGGAGACAAGCGGTCAAATACCGTGAACACATTTTCCTCTTTTTCATTTTCTGCTGAGATTTCCTTTGGCCCTACACAACTGGAGGTCTGAGGGCATAGGATTCCCTTTAAGTTCCTTCCCCCCTCCCCCGCCCCCAATCCCAGGAGAAGGGGGCGTATATTTAGAGGAACTAGTACACTGAGCTTGTCTCTATTCCCTAAACTATTGTAATCCAGTGTCAATTCTTCATTCCTCAGGCATTTCTGTCCCTCAGTGCAGGACGACACCTTAGAAGAGACTTCTTACACCTGTACGTTTTGCCCTTTAATGAGATTTCAAAAATAAATGGTCATTAATAAATGATAGCTATGAAAATATAAGGAAAATTCAAAGAGAGCAATAGAAAACACTCTACTGAACATTCCTCAGATCAAAGAATTAAAAAGATAGAAAACCCTACAGAGAATTTCTGAGGCTGAAATTTTAAAATGCGTTGAAACCATCTGGAGGTTGATTTTGAAATTTTTATGTCTGAAAAAAAAAATTTCCTTTTAAATCCTCCATTCAGGTTTTCAGATGTTGATGTAGTGCCCACAGGGAATAAACTGCAACCCACAAGGCAGTAGGTTGGGCTATAGAACTCTGCAGCCTCAGGTTATATTAGCAGATATCTAGACTTTGGGTTTGTTAAGAGGATCCATGTGGAAATTCTTGCTGAATTACAGTGTTCTCTTTGCATATTGATACTGAGTACATAGGTAATAGAAATAGACTTTTAAAGGTGTGTGCATTTTCTAGGTGAAACAATATGTATTAAATAAGTTAAACTGATTTTAAACACAGGAGAATATTATTTTCCTAGAACCATTTAGTAGAAATAAAAAAGAATCACAACCCAGTCAGTACAATGACAGTTTTAACAAAAACCTTAAGATGAAGGAGTTGTCGGAAATGATACAATGGGCATTTGGGAGGCTATTTTTAAAAGTCACTTCTAATTACTTTTTAATGGGAAGATTTCATATACAGTGTGTGTGTGTGTGTGTGCGCGCGCACGTGTGTGTGTTTTAGATTAGCTCAGATGAACACCAACTACAAAAAAGCTGACTGCTTTGTTTTACAGATGCATTTTTAATTTGTCTCTATACAAATAAACAGATCTCTATCTTTAATTTCACAGCATTTCCATTTCATGTTTTGATGAAAAGACTCAATCCTTTGTCTTTCTTATTATCTGAAGTGCTTTTGTATTAACCTACTGGGAAAGAAAAAGAAGAAAAGAAAACACTCATATTCTAGGAAGGAACTTGTCCAGGCCAAACTTGAGAATGATATTTTCAGCTTGTAGTGGACAATTTTTATAGTAATGTTGCCATTTTAAGGCATTCAAGATTTTACAACTAAATAGTAGCACTTTTCTTTTAACTTTGGGTGTAAATTTGCCAAGATACCTCAGTCATATTCCTTTTTTGCTCAATCTGAAATTGCCTTTGGTATCTCTGCCTATGTCCTATCGGAAAGGATCGCTGTCGTAATGCATTATTTATATTTTTGGAGAATGCAGTAAATATAGAAAATAATGATTTGTTTTAATTCCTCCTAATTTTATGTTTGCTTTTGATATTAAATTTTAGAATTGAAAGGAGTTATTGTGACACATTATAATAATTTTCATTGATTTAGCAACCAATTGTTAACTCTATACTTTGGTGTTATTTTTTTCTGAAGAAAAAATAATGGCATTGGTTTGGGGCTTGAACAGGATTTTTTAAATGACACAAAGGGAAAGTCAGATAAATTTTAATGCATTCAAATTAAAACTTCTATACAATAAAATACATGATTAACTAGATTAAAGGTATGGATCAGACTGGGGAGAAACATTTTCATCATATGCAATATACCATGAATCACTATGTAGATTACATAAACTACTCCTAGGAAGTAAAATGAAAACTATGAACAATAGGAAAATAATCAATGAATATTGATTCAAAAGAGAGGAAGCAGATTGTCTAAAAACATAAAAATTACTAAATTTTAATGACAAGAAAATGCAATTTCAAATAACGATCATGCTTTTCAGTTACTGAATTGGCAAAAATAGATATCTGATAATAGCAAGTTTCAGTGAAATTGTGGAGAGGCAGGAACCCTCATATACTCCTGGTAGGAATGTATCGTGCTACAGAATTAAGCAGAAAAATTATAAACGCTATCATAGGCAGAATTGCAAGAAGACCTCCATAATCACCCCTTCTCCCTACTCTGGTGTTATGCTCTGTATAATCCCTACTCCTTGAGTGTGAGCAGACCTATTACTTGTGTTTAACCAACAGAATATGGTAAAGATGATAGAATGTCACTGTTGTGGTCGGGTATCAATATACAGTTAGTCCTTGCTTTGCACAGTTCCGATATGCACACATTTCATTTACTATGGTAAATGATCTACACAATCCACTATATATTAATTGTAAGCCACTGCAAAAATACAAAATTTGCTGCTACTTCTTCAGTGTACATATCACTATGTAAGTAGCTGGTGCATATTGTAAGGACACAAGTCTAAACCAGACTGACTCCATAATAGGCTTTAAGTTTCCCATCTAAACTAGAAGGCCTAAGTTTCAGTTTCCCTGAAACTATCAGGCAGCTACACACTGCCCAAGGCTGAAGAAACTGCCCACCACTTCACTCCACCACACTACCTTGGCAACACCCAATCAAGAAAGGCCAGCAACTATAGATAAATCTTAGCTGCCTAATGTTAAAGTTAACCCGTTAGGCACCGAACAAGACCCTAGGCTCGCTCTGAAATTGGTTGAATTTAAAAGTACTCTAAATGTTGTAATTGGATCTCACCAAAAGTAACAAATACTCTAGACAATGTGTATGGTTAAACCCGCTGTCAATGATATTGTATAATTATGATTGGATCACTGTTTCCATGCCACAACTTCTGTAACTCCCCTGTCACAAACCCCATAAAAACCCTACTCTGCCTTTGTTCGAGGCTCTCAGCACGGATCCACTGCATTGGTGAGGTCTGGGAGCCCGAGCTCGAGCCCGTAATAAAGACCTTTGCCTTTGCATGCGTGACTCGGTCTCCCCGGTGGTCTCTGGTCGTTGAGGATACTGTGATCTGGGTATAACAATATCACGATCAGTGATCAATCACTGACTTTCTTTCAAAATCTGTTGGTGACTGGTCAGTCAATTCATACACAGAGAGGAGAGCCAGTAGCTGTATGGTCTCCTGGTCTCCCTGCAATAAATCAAGTAGCATTTTACAGAAATGGATAATGAATGGAGGGAGTTGACTAACAAAGATGAAAGTATAGCAAAGAAATGAAAAGTGAAAACGCTGGGAGTAAGATTGGATTTGATTAAAATATTTGAAAATAGAGATAGTAAAGTAAAAACAGGACAAGACTTACCCCTGCATGAAAGGACTTTTTCAAAGACATTTCAATGACATCGAAAAAACACAAAGAAATTATTTTTTTAAAGGCAAAATTATTTCAATATCTTCAGTTAAAACTACACTAGAAATGGAGTGCTTACTTCTACTTTGGATTAAAGAATGTAATAATAATAGCAATCCCATTCAGTTTGTCTAACATTTTAGGCCAAAGCACTGAATTTGGCTGCCTCACTGGAAAAAAGAAATAGAAGATAAGTACTGAGGCTGAAGGAGTAAATTTTACTGCCATTAGAGGCTGGTTTCATTGTTTTAGAAGTTGAGTGAAATGATTAACATTAACATTGGTGAGGTTACTAGAACTGACAAGCATGCAACTGTAGAATTTGCAACCCGATTCCAAGCACTGGGTAAGGTAGTTACAATGATTATCAAATATTGAATGTTGATGAGACAGGTCATTGTTGGAACACAACCCTATTAAGGACTTGTGGAAGGAAGACACTGAATTGCAAAATGACAGTAAAGGAGAGGCTCTCATTATGCACAATGAAGAACCTAGTAAATGTGAACTGATTGACTCAGATGATGGAAGGGGCCTTGCTGAAAGGCACGAAGGCATCCAGAAAAAGAGACAGACAGAACACCTTGCATTCAAGGAACTCTTAGAGATCGCTTATGATATTGAAGGTATAAAGGTTCACATTTTGGAAGCTGACTCAAACCTAGAAGGGGCTATGGAATTTCACCAAGGCAAAGAGAAGATCCTTGTTCCATATAAAAAAATTATATGTTCAGAAGAAGGCAAGCACTGTTCAAAGTACTTTTGATAAGTTGTTTTTTTATTCTTTTACACAGAAATCAAACACAAATTCTGCATGTTTCTACTGTGAAATTACAGTTCTAAATATATTTTAGTTTTACTATTTTAAAATATTTTTATATATTTTTAACTTACAGTAAGAGAGTTGTCAATGTTTTGACAAAAGTTTTGACAAATTTTTTAAGACGTACAGAAAAATAATGAGAGTTATAACTTATTGCTGCTAGTTAAGATCACTCTGCCTGGTTTCCATTTGTGCTATCATTTTTATGTTTTATGTATAATATCTTATATTCCCAAAGTATAAAAGAGAGGACTGCCTGTGTATTTGGCATTCGGTCTTACCTGCCACACACCGGAAGACAGACACTCTGACCTTGAAGAATTAAGTTGTCCTGTTGTGAACGGCCAGTGCAGATGGTCATATGAAAGCGAGCTGCTGTCCTCAAGTCTACAACTGAAGGGTCTCAATTCTGCCAACAACTACATCAGCATAGAAGAGCACCTCAAGCTCTAGATGAGCCTAAACCTCTCACTGTCACCTTGATTATGGCCGGTGGACTCTTAAGTAGAGCACCAGGTAAGCCATGGCTAGACTCTGGATTTCTTGTGGAAATTGTGAGATCATAAATATACATTGTTCTAAACCAGATTTATCTTAGTTGTCACTTTAAGCTACATTTATTTTAAATGTCTGTTGATTGAACTAAAGTTATCTTTATCAACATGAAGAGTTTAAAAATATTTTGACTGACAAAATCAAATATCAAAATGTAACACATAATATGATGTCATCTATGTAAATAAGAAACATACTTAAAATGCTATATGTCGTCTTTGAGAATATATATATTTTTTCTACATGTATACATATAAATATATATATACATATATACATATGTACATGTGAAGAAAATGAACTAGAAGTCTTTACACTGAATTGCAAATGATGGTTGTCTCTTGGGGATGAGAATGGGGTATAGGAATGAGACCTGGAGGGTCAAACAATAAGAATTTCAACTTCAACCGAAACAATTTTTTTAATGTTTATTTATTTTTGATAGACAGAGGTACAGAGTGGGAGCAGCAGGGCAGAGAGAGGGAGACAGAATCTGAAGAGGGCTCCAGGGTTTGAGCAGTCAGCAGAGCCCAATGCGGGGCTTGAACCCACAACAGTGAGGTCATGAGCTGAGCTAAGTTGGATGCTTAACTAACTGAGCCACGCAGGTGCCCCAGAAATATTTTTTTATAAGAAAGAAAACAATCACAAAAATATCAATAACTTGAAGTTAAATGGCAGGTTCACAGGCATTTTATTTGTAATTATCCAATATTTTTAATTGCTAAAAAGGGAATGACTATAAATTCTAGTCTCTAACACACAATTTAAACCCTGATTTATACCTAGCCATGGAAAGAAGATGAGGAGGAAGTAGTAAGGAAAATGTTCAACATGTTTTGTTGAAGGCAGAAGAAATTAATTGTTGGGTCCTAGAGAACCAAATCAAAATTGAGTAGATTCTACTTCTCTGCTCCAGAATTGTTGTACTCTGGGTTTCAGGAAAAATCTTTCTTCTGTCTTCTGCTCACTGCTTGCACTTACTCCTGTGCAAAAGCGAGACTGAGACTCTGCTGGCTTCTACCTGGAGGGAGCTCACAAGCACCTTAGCATTTCTCTCCAGGTAGTTTGTCATGATCTCTTTCAGAATCGCCTGGAGTGAGTGTTTATTAACAACACAGATGCTTGTGCCCACAGCACATTTACGGAGTCAAGATTTCTGGGGAATATGGCTAGGAATGTTCATTTTTACAAACTCCCTGGGAAATTCTGAGGCATTCTCAATTTTAGAGTAATTATTACTATTTTAATAGTAAAATAGAGTTCATGAAAATGACAAAATGTTGAAAATTTTAATAACTACATACACAAGTAACATTTTGTTGGAAATACCTCTTTTAGGGAGATGGGCAGGAGGTATTCATGGTGCCATGATTAAAAATGTATAGCTTTCCCTTCATTTGACAGACTTCACTCCCAGTCTTGGGTAAGGTACCAAAGTAAATTCAGGATGAATTAAAAGTAACTCATTCCTTTGTTCTTTATTCCTTTGAGTTTTTAATTTTAAAAAATTATAAGTGAATTAAAAGGTTGCAAGAACACTTTAATGATCTTTCTTATTTTCTTTGCCCACATTCACCAGTTGTTAGCTTTTGTCCCATTTTCTGTGTGTGTGTGTGTGTGTGTGTGTGTACATACTTCTGCTTGACAATTTGAGAGTAAATTAAAGATATCACACATGTTTACCTCTAGATATTTCAGTTTGCATGTGTTCTTTAAAAAGGACATTCTTTTAAGAGCATGTGGGCAGCTCAGTTGGGTAAGTGTCCGACTTTGGCTCAGGTCATGATCTCACCCCTCCCAAGTTCGAGGCCTGGATCAGGCTCTGTGCTGACAGCTCAGAGCCTGGAACCTGTTTCAGATTCTGTGTCTCCCTCTCTTTCTGCCCTTCCCTGCTCATGCTCTCTCTTGCTCTGTCTCTCAAAAATAAATACACATAAAAAAATTAAAAAGGACATTCTTTTATATATAGTGCTATTATAAAATATTTGATATTGTTAAAATACTATTATTTAACTTACTATTCATACACCAACCTTGCGGATTGTTTCAATGTAATCCCTTCTAACCAAGACTTCATGTCTCTTAGCTCTCATTTATTCTGAAATTGTTAATCACCTTTTGGCATTTATGACATTGGCATTTCTTAAGAGCACTAGCCAACCGTTTTATTGAATATTCCTTAATTTGTGTTGTTGTTGTTATTGTTGTTGCCTCATGGATAGATGCAAGTTATATGTTTTTGTCAGGAATACAAATGATCTCTTGTCCATTTCAGTGCACCACAGCAGAAGACATGTAATGCCAGTTTGCAATTATTTGGTAATGCTAACTTTGGTGACTTTTGGTAAGGTGTTGCTTGCCAGGCTTCGCTGAAAAGTTACCATCTTCCTTACAATTGATAATAATCAGTTATGACATACACTGAAGCTATAGTCTATTCCCCATCAAGCTTTTTTAGTTTTAGCATACACTGATAATGATTTATTTTCCTGAATTGATTATTTTTATGGTTATAAAAATTTTTATGAGTATAATTTTTCCGCTTTGTTGTTAGGAAGATCTTTCTCTTCTCTTATTTATTTATTTAGTATTAACAAGGACAATATAGATTTTTTAATGCAAAATGTATTACCAGCACTATTTATTTTGATGCTCAAAGTGTTTAGCTATTGAAAGCCCTTTGTGTGTTTGACATGGTTCTATGATCTTTTGAGCACTTTAAAACTTTGTGGCATCATAAGATATTCCAGATTATTTTGCACTTTTCCTCTATAGCCCTACAACCAACCATTTCTCCTTAGTACCTTGTTTCTCCTTAGAACGAAATGGTATGCTAGAAATGAAAATGTACTCAATATGTTCACAGCTATGGGTGCCTTTATTTCTCAGCTTTTCGGCTGGCAGTACTTATACCTCTCATTTTGTCCTTCAGAATTTTCCATTTCTTTTCCCATTCCACATTTGTGTCCTCCTTATTTCATGGTGAGGTTCCCCGATCCAAAATTCATAGATAATTTTGAGAACCATTGCAACAGTGACTCTGAAGGCACTGTGGGTGACTGCCTGAAGCCAAACATAACCCAATATATGAACCTTGGGAACCTAATGGAGGTATGTGGTTTCCCCTTGGTTCTGTACTCAGTCACATGGGACAATGCTCTCCAATAAGTGGAGAATATTAATAAGACATTTTTCATCTATACTGGGAAGGGAAATAAGGTACCACTGCCCTGTGAATGAAGTATTCTGAACAATCAGGCTGATTTACCTTAGGCTTCTTTTTTCTTCTTCTTCTTCTTTTTTTTTTTTTTTTTTTTTTTTTTAACTCAGGGACTACGGTCAGATGGAGTAAAGATGGAGGTTGATATGTATACTATATTCTATACATGATTACAACTTTGTAGACTTTTATTTGGACTTTAAACAACACTATATGAGAGTAAGCTAAATATTCTTATCCACTGTCTGGTAAGATTTTAATAAAAATCAGAAAACAGATTAGAAGTGAAAATAAGTTTTATTCCATTATTGGAAATTTCCATATATAATTGATAAATGCAAAATTAACATTAAAAGGGGGAAGGCATTAATTTTTTCAAAAAGTATTTCCTCAGATGCCTAAATGGCTCATTTGATTAAACGCCCAACTTCGGCTCAAGTCATGATCTCACATTTTGTGGGTTTGAGCCCTGCTTTGGGCTCTGTGCTAACAGCTCAGAGTCTGGAGCCTGCTTCAGATTCTGTGTCTCCCTTTCTTTCTGCCCCTCCACTGCTTGTGTTCCCGATCTCTCTCTCTCTCTCTCTCTCTCAAAAATAAACATTAAAAAATTTAAAAGAAATATTTCCCTATTTCAGTTGCATATCAGCAAAAATAATTTCATTTATAGCTTTTATTTTTCTGTTTCTTTTTTAACACAATAATAATTACTAATATTTATATACTGAGTGGGATAATAAGCATATCACATGCATTATATTTATGTCTTGAAACAATTATGGATGGAAGAAATTGCTCTCCCACTTTACAGACACAGAATTTGGAGTGTGGAGATGTTGAATGATTTTTCCATATCCACAAAACTGGTTATTGATCAAATAAATATTTCTAAAAGTTCTGTCCAGTTGAAGCCAATATATGTTGATATAATGCACCAACTAAAACGTGAAAATCAGTAATTTTAACTTTTAAGAAGTAAGGAGAGTCTTTTATGTAGTTTATTTTTGCTCCTTATAACTTAGGAAGTGCTCATTTTAATTCATTACTTTAAGACAACTTTATTCTTTTGAGCTCAATAGCAAAAAAGAGTAAAATATGATTTCCTATCTTTCATTGTCATTCATCACCACCTAAACATAGAAACGTTATATTGCCCTGGATTCAAAGTACTCATCACCATTATAAAGCATTTAACAGGATTCAAAAATTATTTGAATGTATAGTGTGCATTCTGGAAGTTCAGCATCAGTTCAATCTAAAAATAGTTATTACTTAGATCAAATTAAGATATAATTTTCTCCTTTATTGAATTATTATTAAAATATTTCTGGTACTTGTGCTTTTGAGCTTAGTTCTTATATAAATGCATCATTCTCTCTTCTTTTAATTTATTTTAGAGAGAGAAAGAGAGCAAACATGAGAGAGGGGCAGAGAGAGAGAAGGAATCTTGACCAGGCTCTATCCTGCACGTGGGGTCCCATGCAGGGCCTCATTCCTATGACTCTGGGATCAGGGCCTGAGGTAAAATCAAGAGTCAGAGACTCAACTGACAGAGCTACCCAGGTGACTCACAAATCCAGGTAATTGAATAATTACTTTTTTTTTTTTTTTTTTTGAGAGAGAGAGATAAGGGGCAGAGGTAGAGGGAGAGAGAATCTTAAGCA